GATTTGGGGGGGGGGGGGTGGGGGGAACCAACTCAAACCCCAGAAATATGAGTTCAGAGGAGATGAAAGGAGAAGGGGAAAACCACGCTGCCCCATACATAAGCTTCCGTGCTCCTCTATCACCCCAAAAACACTGCTCCCCTGCCCATCACCTCCAGAGCACTCTCCCACCCCTTCCAAAGCACCCACCGACCTCTCCAGCCCCCAGCCTGCAGCTGGCATGCACCAAGCTCATCCCAGACCAGATCCCCACGGGCAGGATCAGGTCTGCACCCCACACGATCAGCTCTAAGACTCCTTCCCTCCTCTCCCAGGCTTTCATCAAGGAGATGATCCAAAACACCTCCAAAGCCTGGATGGGGCTGAGCACCAACCAGACAGGAGGGAAAATGTGGACGTGGCAGGATGGATCCCCTTTACAGGAAGCCTTGTGAGTGCCTCCCACTGCTCCGGTTCATGAGTGGTTTGCAATGACCACATCCCAGGGGAAATATTTCCCAGCCTGATGCTCACCACAGACCTGGCTGCTCCCCAATGACTCCCCAAAACCCCTCTGGAGCCCGCAGCAATGCTCACAGGAGCAAATTAAATCAGAGTGACACACGTCCGGTCTCTGCAGCCCGGCCGCTAAACAGGAAGAAGAGAGGAAAAAGCAATTAAACCCTTATTCCTGTTTTACACCCAAATGCAAAGCATAAAGGCAGGGAAATGTCAACCCATTAAAAAGCAAAAAGATTGCCCCAGTGGTAACATTCTTCACGCAGGGGTGCCGTTGTAGCCACCGTGACCTCAGCATACAGAGAAAAGGCAGTTTTTAATAGAGCTAATATTTATTAGACCAAGTAGTTACACACACGGGGGGCTGGGAAGGAGAAACAAGTGTCTGGGGAGCACAGGCTGGAAAAACAAGAGGCAGATGGGTGGTACATTGCTGTGCTCGCAGCTGAGCTGACAACAGCTCACGGTTCAAGGTTTTGGGGGGAAAAACACCCTAATGAGATAAATATTGTTGCTGGAAACACGCATGACGCCAGGCTGATTGCCATCGCGGTGTTCTCTAGGTCTCCGGTGCAGGGTCCCATGGAGGGGGATGCTTGTGCCGCAATTCGGAATGGTCAGCTGTGTGCCCACAACTGCGGCACCCCATTACGTTGGATTTGCCAGAAAGAAGCCACCGAGATTTAAACCAGAGGAAACGACACGAGGAATAACGGGACAGACTCGACACCGGACAATTCACCAGGATGCCAAAACACATCCCAGAGCAGCGGTTCGGTGGCTCCTTGCCGAGGCTGGGTTTCTCCCAAGCGCTGGCCAGGGGACACACCGAAGTAACTCTGCTTCGCTTCTCCTCTTTCTATTTCTGCCCTCTCCTCCAGCTCTTCCAAATCCACAAAAAACAACAAAGGCACCAAAATCAGCAGGACTGAGCTTCGCAGTGCGGCAGCTGCCGCCCGAGCAGGGAGTCTTCCAAGAGCCTCAAACATTCCCATGTCTCTCTGCAAGTGCAAAAGCTGGAAAGGCACTAGTGGTCGGATTAAAGGAAGGATCCTTTGGTCACGGCTCTGTGAGCGTCATGACGAGTTTCTACTTTTGTAAGCTAAAATAAATCTATACCATTGGGAGAATCATATATATCCCCTTGGGAGACTCACTATTGTCTTGTGCGCTGTTAACAGCAGCTTGTGATCTCCTCTGCCGAGGGGGGAAATCTGAGGTGAAATGCAGAAGGATTTCTGAATCCTTCAGAATCCTGCTGGGGTGCTTTTGCAGGTGGCTGCAGACAGAGTATTTCTTCTGGGAGCACCAGTCGCTGCTGATCCCGTCCACATTGACATAGGCACATTGTCCGCTGCCCCGGACTTCAAACCTGCACCAAACAGCAAAAGAAAAACTCAAAAGAAAGCAAACGGACTGCTGCCAGCCTCAAATCAGTGTCTGAGCATCTCCCAAAGGGGTTAACGGTACTGCAAGGAGCAGGAACCGCCCTTCCCAGGAAACAACCTGCCCCATGCAGAACAGAAACTGCCTCCCACTCCTCAGAGGGAATATTTTCAGTTTCTTGGTCCCAAGGGGGTTCATCCAGGGTCAGCACCTGCATCACACAAATACAAGGACCACAGTCCAAGTGCTTAGCTCAAGCAAGGACAGCGGTGCTTAATTGCTCCCACCTCATTTTTTTTTTTATTTTTATGTGTGTCTTCTTGCACTCAGTCCCTGATCCATCTCAGCCTAGGACACGGGTACGTTCTCCAGAAGACAACGGGACGTACAGGTTATTGCAGAGAGACCCGTTGATCCATTTCCAAGGTCCAGCGTCTTCCCTTTGCAGGCCAATCCAGAAGTCCCTGTCAGCCCCATAGCGCAAGAGGAAATGCTAGAGGGGGAAAAAAGAAAAAGTGAGCTTGATCTGTATCTTCAAGCTACACCCTCCAGAGGAATCCCAAATCTGCTTCCCAAAAAGCCATCGACACACCAGTTCCTCAGGGATTTCTCATTTACCAGCTCCCTCCTGGAGTCGATGGTAGCCAAATGGGCTCCAAGAGAAAGGCAAAAGATCTGACTCCCGTTCCAGTCTGCTTCGGCCTCCACGAAGCGAAAACACTTGTCCCCATACCCGATCTCTTCTTCCAGGCAGCTAAGGACGGGAGAGGGGCAGGATGGACAGGACGGGCATTTCTTAGCTGGAAATAAGCAGAACACGTCCTGGTGACTTACCCCCGTGGGTTTTCTCCAGCGAAGGAGAAGACTTCAATGGTGGGCACCTCCATCCTCAGCCACTTACCTGCCAGCGCGATGATGGTGAGGAGCAACGCTGCTATGACCACGGTGACCGCGATGGGGACCTTTTTATCCTTAATGCACTTGAGGCTAAAACCTGGGGACAGATGGTGTGGGAGAGGTGCAGCTGGCAAACCCATGGCACAAAGAGCACCCCAAGCTCTTGTATTCCTGCCGTGGGTGCCTTCAACACCTTTAAATACAGCCACAGAGCGCGTGGGGGGGCCACAGGCTCAGTTCCGGGGGTGCGTCCCAGTGCTATCAGCAGCCTCCATGGGTTTTTAGGGCTGCCTGACCTCACTGCATCCTATCTGTCCCCCCTCAACCACAAGAGACAGACACCATCCCCCAGACTGCAGCTTGCAAACAGCTTTGCCTTTCTCACATCCTCCCCCCACTCACGCCAGCTATTTTAATTAAATTTGAGCTGCCTGTATCATCTTAAGCCCAGCCACAAACTCCAAAACAACATCCCAAAAACAAGACCGGTGCTTACTTGTCCCTTCCTCTGTTCTCTGCTGTGACGACATCATTACAGCAGCCACATCTTCGCCTGTGCAAAAGCAAGAAGCCCGTGCAAATGAAGCGACTTACTGCTAACGCTGCCAAGTTAAGCAGCAGGAAACACCCGACCTTGAGTACTTGTCTGAGACCCTCAAGGTAAACAAAAGTGTTTCCTCTTTTCTGATTTATATTTGTGGCAGAAAAGGAAACATGATTTCAAAAAGGAAAAAAAAAACCCACCCAAGCTAGAACTTGCTTTGTTTTTCCAAGCCAGCCTTGATTTTACTGGCTTCTGCCAGCTCCGTTTGGCCTGGTCTCAATCACTTCCCCATTTCTTCAACTACAGGGTGTTTTCTGCTCCAGTCCCCGCTCCAGGACCCCACGTGGTGCTGTATGGCTCCATCTGAGCCACGTCCCCCAGCCCAAAGCACAGAAACCACCCCCTGATCTCCCCATCAGATGCAGGGCAGCTCTTAAAAGCCTCGAGGAAAAGGGATGGTGCTTATGTACCTGCATCAGGAACAGCTTCTGCCATGCCTGGTGCTGCGGCGGGGACAGAGAAACCCTCGGGGATGAGCACGTCCCTCAGCTCCACCAGCAACAAAGCGAGGAGGGTCAAAACCACAAATCAACCAGGTCCTTCTCCTTCCCTGGGGTTTTACCAGGATGCTCCTGCGGTCACTAAAAGACAAAAAGCTCACAATTGCCCCAAAACAGTGCTGCTCGTCACAGCACTTTTTTTTTTATAAATCTCTTGCTTTCCTCAAAGCTCCGTTTTGTGGAGAGCAACGCTTTAGCTAAAAAAAGAGGGCATGGGAAACGTGCAACTTTGACCTGTGCGCTGAAGCAGCAAAGAACAGCGGTTCAAAGAAAAGATATGCACAGAACAGGCTTTGCATGTTTCAATAGCTCGTAAATAACATGTGGCTGGCCGCATCCGGGAGATAACGAACTGAGAGGAGATAGCTAGGTGCCTGCCAGGAGGAAGAGAAAAACAAGTAGCAGATCGTGCAGGGAACACGAATCGGGTGATGACTGGGGAATAAAAGAGCCTCCCCTTTTAACAAGAAATACTATATAATCATGAAATTCTGTAATAAAGTTGATTCTGTACTTGCACCCTACGGAGTCTGTGCCTGTCGTACACCACCACACTTTTCACCTTTTTTCAAGTCCCAGCTTGCATTCGCTCAGAATCATTGCTTCTCCAAACCTCCCACAACAGCACATTTTTCTATGTTGTTCCTACCAACTGTTTTTTCCAAGTTATTTTAGGTTTTGACTTTTCCCCAGACATGGCCTCTTCCCAAAGCCCAAGGCAAAACATTAACAGATTCACATTTTTTCTCAGAGAAGCAAAACCACTCCCATGGAAGCTATACATAAAATATTCACATTTATATGAAAAACCTCAAAGAAACAGAACAAGAATCCACCAATACAAAACAGAAAAATCTGCAGGTGTTGTTGTCAACAAGCCCTTCATGTCACCGACAGCTGCAGCTCCTCTAACAAAGACCTTAAATGTTTAATAAAAATATATAGACAACACGACATCAGACAAGCAGCCGTTTTTTGCATTAATATCAGCACTCTAAATACAAATTTCATTTTGCATTTTGGACCTTCCTCAATTTGCAACAAATGTTTTCCAGGTAAGAAAAACCTTCGTGTGTTCACAAAGGTAACAATCAAAAGGGTATTTTTTTCCTCCCCAAACACTTGATTTTGAATAGGGTTTAAGTGATGTAGCATTTTGCTACTGTCGCCAACACCCATCCGTGACCCAAAACCAAATTACTCCTGCCCCAGGCTGCAGCTTGGTGTATTTTGGAATAAAACAGCAGGTGATGGAGAAAGAAGGGAAAAAAAACAACCCAAAACAAGTGGGGATCGACAGAGAAAGGTGATCATCAGAAAATACTCCTAAATACACTGTACTCGTGGGAAACAAGGGACTTTTGTGTCCCAAAAAGCGGCTCAATATTACAGGCGAACATTGTTCTAGTTCATGGCCTTGGTAGGGGGAAACATTGCTGCCTGGTGAAGCAATGTCTTTGCAAATGGCTCACGGACATAAATCAAAGGCGTTTTTGTGTAGGAGCGAGGAATTCATGCAAACAGGTCCAAACTCAGGGAAACTGCTGAACTGCAGCTTCTGGGAGCTGCTGGGAGAGAACAGATAAGCTCCCACTGAGCAAACAACTTCTGTGTGTTTTCCCTCTGTGGCAGAAGAAAAACTGCAGATTTCCCCCCTCCATGCCCACAGCCTCCATCCAGATGAGGGATTTAAACACACACAGGGATGGTGTCTGCTCCAGAACCCCAAATTTATCCCCTATTTGTATTACTGGAGCAAGAAGCCAGCCAATTGGAAAGAAGCAGAAGCATCTAATACCTAATACCAAGAACCTACCCCTTCCCCAGTAAACCACTCCTCTGACCAGCCTTAGGAACCTCCTTAACACTATTCCTGAGCTTTTTTTTTTTTTTTTTTTAAAGTTAAGGCGCTGGACACGCAGCCCGGCACACGGCTGGCTTTGCGGGCCGACATCTGCGGTAAAATCCCGCTGCAGCGCCTGCTGTGAGTTAGGACGTGTGGACGAGGTGACCGCACGTTTATACCTGCTGGTGGTTAACCCGCTGGCGTTCACAAGACGCCGCCAGGTTGGATTCTTTCGGGGTGCAGCAGGAAAGTTAATCTCACAGCCTCCTCCATCCCCAAAACCCAGATGGGAAGAAGAGGGAGCGGCTGCATCCCAAACCCCAGCCAGGCTCTGCCAGGAATTGCAGAATCAGAGCAGAGCTACAACCCGCTGGTGTTTACAAGACGCAGCCAGGTTGGATTCTTTCGGGGTGCAGCAGGAGCGAGTCACGAAGCCATTGCTTAGATATGATCAGCATCACAGCCTCCTCCATCCCCAAAACCCAGATGGGAAGAAGAGGGAGCGGCTGCATCCCAAACCCCAGCCAGGCTCTGCCAGGAATTGCAGAATCAGAGCAGAGCTACAACCCGCTGGTGTTTACAAGACGCAGCCAGGTTGGATTCTTTCGGGGTGCAGCAGGAGCGAGTCACGAAGCCATTGCTTAGATATGATCAGCATCAAGAGCGGCTTCTCTGCTCCATCTTTACAGCTAGCGTGATCGTTAGCGACCTGGAAAGCTCGTTTGGTTTTTCCATGGTGTAATACACCACACTAGGAGATGAGGCCAGACAAAGGCATGAGCTCGAGCAGCACTAACAGTTTCAGCAAGTCATTGTGGGGTTTCCCCGCTCAAGAATTCCCCTCTCGCTTGGATTGAGCACAGCGATCTCTGGAATCGAGAATTAAGCTCAAGTCCAAACTCGCTTCACCCAGGTCCAGCCCAAACCTCCCACCGCACAACACTCTCCCACCCCCTTTCCTTGAAGCTTTCACCCCAGCTCGTGCCTCGTAACTCACCGCTTGGTCCAAGGGAGAGGCAGTGGGTGCAAACACCTGGAAGCCCACCAGTTCCAGTTCTCCCGGCTCAGTCATCGACTGGCTCAAGACTTTTCAGCCCACGCTGAGCTGTGCCACTGCCAGGGCAGTGGGTGAAGGCAGGTTGGCATCCTCGGATTGCTCTGCCCAGGGTGTCCTCGGGGTGGTGATGGGCTGAGAGTCTCTTGTCCCCTACAGAGAAATACAGATGGGACATAAAAGCTTTCTACACATTCACCAGCTTAAAAAAAAATAAATAGTTGGCAAGGGCAGATCAGTAGGAGAGCCTTCCGCACTGCCTCGGAGGAGTCACACATGAACATAGTCACACATGAAAATAAAAAAGAGGAAGCGCTCCACACCCAGCACTCTCAAAACATGGTTTTAGCTGAAAAACTAATTATTCACTGCTGCTGACCTTTCTCTACTCCCTCCAGCACCAGTCAGGACAGCGGGGCGATGGAAACCCCTTCAGCCTTTGTGCTTCTGTGTGCGTCCTGCCAGATGGCGAAGGAGGGTGGAGAGAGGATACGTATCTGCCCCCCCCGCCTTTCAGCTTGTTTACATCATCCTAAACAACTCCCATCCGCTCATGCTCTTTTTGGGATTAAACCAGCTGCTTCGGTAAATTCCATGAGGAAAAAAACAAAAACAAGGGGAGGGTGGGCAGCAGGGATGGTATCAGCTCCAGACAATCCTCCCAAGAGCATCAGCTGATGCTGGCCATTGTCAGCAACTCACCCGCCAGCATGAGAAGGATGGTTTTTAAGTGACGAATCCCATCTGCCTTCCCCGCAAAAAAACCACTCCCCGTCCAGGGCCTCTTTGCTCTAGAAAGATTCAATTCCTTTTAGAGAATGTGTTTAAAAAACAGAAGTGTTTAAAAAAACCCCAAGCACTGGGCCAACAGCTGGCGCTGGTGGCAGATGCAGCAGACAAAACTATTTCTGGGCTTCATGACCAGAGAGTGATGCCAGATTTTCAGCCCCGGCCACATCATAATTGCAGAGAAACTGGTAGGAAGGAGCAAGCAAAGCTGGGGAAAAGCAGAAGCGATGTGTTGTACCTGATGGAAGATGATGGTTTCTCTCCCCTACAGCAGCAAACTACCGTTTTCAGAGCAGCTGGGGAGAGGAAGCGTCCAAGGCAAGGGGAAGAGTTCAGGGACGCGTGTCTCTGCGCAGAAGCGTGCTTGCTCGCGCAAAGCTGCACACGGGGGCTCTCGGGCTTCCCCTAATCCTGATCCCCCTCCAGAAGGTGCTGCTGCAGGAGCCCCAGAAGCAGCTGTGGGTGGTAGGGAGAAACCCAACCTGGGTGGTGGGTGAAGGAACCTCACCGCATCCCCTGCGAGAGCAGCGATGGCACGGCGATGTGGAAGGGCGGGCATCAGGGCTGGCTCAAATGGCCCCTTCCCAGTGCTCCCAGCCCGTCCATCCTCACGCGTCCCAGTTCAGACAGCTGTTTTCACGCAGCGAGGACGGGAGGCAGCGCAATGCCACGGGGCAGTCCCACCGAGCTTTCACGCTTGCTCTGAGCTGGGGAAACCCTGGTTTGGGAGGTTGCGCTGCAGGGAAAGGCTCTTGGCTCTTCCGCCATCACCACCATGTGGCAGGCGGGGCTTAGACTTGTAACCGTCCCCCTGTCCCCTGTCCCCACCTCCGCTCAGCTCAGCTCAGCAGGGTCCGGGTGTTTGCCCTCCTTGGATTCTGGACCGAGTACTGCCTTGTGGCGAGCTCGCTTGCTAGGGGTTTAGTTTGGGGTTGCTTTTTTGAATCCCCTGCCCTCTTTTTTTTCCCTTTTTAACCCTAACGCTCTCACCGCTGCGCTTCCTCTCTGCCTTTGCAATGCTGCCACAAGCATCCCTCTCCTCTGCCGTCTGTCAGTCCCTTCTGGGTACGGGCCACCTCCTGGGATACTTGTGCTGTGCCTGGGGCGAAAGCACAACCTGAGGATGAGGACGGTCCAGGAGGAAGATTGAGGGGGACGCTGGCACGGGTAGAAATCCCAAAGGCACCTCCCCAGGGGGTCGAAGGGGGGCCCTGGTGTGCCCTGGAGCCCTGGAGGGGTGAGGCAGGTCCAGGGGTAAGTGCTGGTGGGCAGAAAGGGACGGGCACAAGGGCGGGAGGTTTATCTGGTACAGAAGGATGCACTTTCCAGCCTCCCCCGTTAACAAACTTGCTTGAAAACACCACACAACAGAGCCCAGCTAATGTCATTATTAATTTGCACATGATTAATCTGGTTGTTGCACAACGGCTCCCATATTTCCCCCACCGAGGGCCTGATCGTGGCCCGTCCCCGAGCGTCTCTGCTGGCCACAGACCAGCTTGTGGCCCCCCCGGCTCAGAGCTGGGTGGCTTCTTTCTGGCAGATCCCCTGCAATCCCGAACTGCAGCTATCAGAGCTGATCCTGTCCCCCCTCAGCACCCCGCACCTTCTGCCTTCATCCCAGGGGATCAGCGGGAACCTGCGGGTGCAGGAGGGAGCCCACGTCACAGCACCAGGGTCCCTCGGGTGACGGCGGAGGTGCCCACCCCAACACCCATCCCTCCCCAAAGTGCTTGCTCACCGGCTCTGGTCCAGGCGGGAGCCGTTCAGCCAGGTCCAGCCCTTCCCGGCGGAGGGGATGGAGAGGCCGATCCAGAAGTAGCGTCCGGGTTTCTGCAGGATTTTGTTTAGGAAAGCCTGGTGCGGGGCAGAGGGCAGGCGGTGATGCCAGCGTGCCATTCCCAAACCGGCTCCAGCCCGTCCCCGCTCAGCCCCCGTCCCAGGAACAAGCCCCACCGATGTCCCCCACCCTCTGACACTGGCAAAGGCGCCCCAGACGCTCGGGCGCAGGGCTGGGTGCTGACCCCAGATTTCTGGGCGAGCCCTGAACCCTTCCCCAGGTGCCACCGGCCCCTCGGGTGCAGCCCTGGGACCCGTCCCACGGCCCCGATGCCATCGGTCCCTTTACCAGCTCTTCCTGGTCCCCCGGCATCAGCAGCTCGCCCCTCCGATTCCTGCAGTCCTCCCGGCTCTTGCTCCACGAATTGATCATGTCGGTAACCCAGTAACACTTGCTCCCGTGCAGCGTCCAGCCCGTGGGGCACAGCTTGCACCCCTCACCCTCTGAAAGACAGTCAGTGCCATGTTCGGCCACCAAGAAGCCACCTTGTCCCCTGCCCATCCAAAAAGAACAAGTGTTTAAGTCCTGTTTGCTCCCCAGGAACACGGGGACGCCCTGAACTTCGCTTGGTTCTCCAGTCTTGGGGTGCTCAAAGTTTCGGGGAAACCTGACGGCCAGGGCAGTTACCTTGCAACTGTGACAAGCAGAGACTTTTCCTCAGCTCCAAGCAGCCTTTCTCCAGGGTGGTGTTGCCATCTCCTACGTTCCCGCTCACGTTTCGGTGGCTTCCTGAGTTCTCCGACTGCTGGTGGTTCCTGAGTTCTCCTGAAACTGCAAGGGGAGGATGGAGCAGGGGAGAGGGACTGGGCCCCAGATCCACCCTGCAACAGGGACAGCAGATCCCTACAAAGTCACCGTGCCTCGGCTTGCAACTTGCACCCAAAATTGCTCCCACGTCCTGAAAGCATCACCTGCATTTTCCATGTCTTGGCTCCGTGGAGGGCACTGCGCTCAGGGAAGCTCGAGCCTTATCCCTCTGCTCCTTCCTCCACACCCCTGTGCCAAAACCCTGGCAGATCCATCCCCAGAGCTCAAATTCACCTCCAGCACAAGGTCCATCAGATCTCCTCACCAAGATCCATCAGTCTCCCACCTGCTTGGCACGGTCTGGGGGTGCTGTGGGTCAGGGCGGTGTGAGATACCACCAGCAACATCATGCCAGGCACCAGACTAATTTCAGCAGAGCTCTGCATCACCCTGAGCTCAGCCACAGGGTGTCAAATTGTAACTCTCCCACAGCTGAGAAGTTTCCAGTGGTTTCCCCTCATTGACTACCAAAATAGCCAAGTCTCCTCCACCTATCAGCGCTAAGCAATTCTGACCAAAACCCACTTCCCCTCACCTTGCACTGAGGTGCAGCAGCCAATGCAGATCATAAAAAGCAGATTTTCCACCTACACAAGCACCCCCAGTGCAGGGACCCTCTCCCTGCTTTGGACTGTCCTTTGGCTGTCCCCCTGCCAGCACACGGAGCTACTCACACCAACATCCCATCGCTAACACTGCCACTCCGAGGAGGAGGTTTCCGAGACAGCTGGCCCAGAGAGCAGTTCGGTACCGCTGGGGACAGCCCGATCCTGCAAGGTAAAGAGTTGTTAGGAGAAGAAACACTGCCCCACTCACACAGCGGGCAAGCCAGATCTGCAGTGCAGATGTGGGCTATTTTCTCCCCAAAACCCCTCAGTGGTGGTTCTGCTGGTTGTTCAGAACCTTTCGTCCATCATCCGCGATTCACCACTGCCGCCCTCCTGTTTCACACTGATCCCCCTGGGACTGGGGCAAAGTTACTCGTGATGAGGTTTTACCCAGACATCCAAGACTCCAAGAATCGGGAGTTGCCTGGATGTCATAAAGCCATTATGCATTAACTGCTGACCCTG